TACATACATATTATTTGGGTATATTTTATTGAGATAAAAAAACACCGAAAACACAATCTTTGGCAGCATTAAGCTGAATTGTAGATTGGGTAATTACAATAAAATATATAAAATTTGTGATAAGACTAATAAATGTACAGTATATAAAAAATATGACACAGACAGAAAACACTAAAAATACAAAGAATAAAAAACAATTTTACATCACACTTTACTCCTGAGCTATATATAATATCCAAATCATTCAGACTGGGGGGTTCATCCGCCACAGGACCTCACAATGAATTGAGAATTCGTGCCATGTAAGGTATCGGGCTATTTTTGTATCGGGATTTAGTACATTTGTATTCACTATATTTTTTTTTATACCGTAATGACATATTATGTGTAGTATTGTTAATTGGGAACCAGTGCTTAAATTTTTCCGAATTTGCAGTTTTCTTTGCAAATGTTTTGCAAAGTGAGGTCCTGCGGTCAGACAAACCCTCCAGTCCAAGAGTTAGTAGCGCATCCTCATAATTAAAAAAATTATCGGCAAGGATAATATGGCATACGCGCCTTTGAACGCGCTCTATGGATGTGCTTTGTTGTTTAGTGAGGCCAGGGTGCCACAACGGTGCAGCATACTCAAGAACCGGCCGAACATAACATTTATAAACATGCAGAAGTTCATTGTAATTAAGTCCGGCTCTTTTTAATGTTATCAAAATAAATAGCTTTCTATTTACCTTCGCAATTACAGCATCCGTGCTACTCTTCCATTTAAGATCATTGTCTATTAGGACTCCTAATAATTTGACTGTGTCAACTAGTGTAAGAGTTTCGTTAGCAATGTGGAAGTGGTCGGCGACCAAAGAAAAATCTAATCACCTGGCATTTAGAAGGATTGAGTTTAAGTTTGTTATTAGTAGCCCATTCATGGAGATCATCAAGAATAGTTTGGAGGTTACTAGGGCTTTCAAAATGTTTGGATTCGCCAATTGTTTGGTCGTCAACATATTTCCAGGCATCGACCCCCAAGGTGCCAACATCATTCAAGGAGTTATTTATACAAACTAAAAATAATAAAACGGCTAACAGAGTTCCCTGGGGGACTCCTCCTGTAAGAGTGGTCCATTCTGACAGAACACCCTTATAGGTAACTCTTTGCTTTCTTTCAGAGCTAAAGTCAACAATCCACTGAACTATTTCAGGTTGGGCCTCCATGTTTAAAAGTTTTGTAATGGCAATGTTGTGGTCTATCAAATCAAAGGCCTTGGAGAAGTCAGTGAGTACCAGTGTACTGGTAGTGGCTGGCCTCTCCAAGGCACTCCATAACACTATGATAGATATCAACTAGACAGTGGGTGGTAGACACACCTTTCTGATTACCATACTGCCGTTTGTCTAATTTGGTTTTAATACATTCAGTTAAGACTTTTGCAACCCGCCCTTCCGCTACCTTTGCCAAAATTGAGGTAAGGGAAATTGGTCTTAGTTTTGAAATAGTAGCAGGGTACTGTTTAGGGACCGGAACTACATTAGCTTCCTTCCACTGTGTTGGTACCTTTGCCTGGGCTAATGAGGCATTAATTAAGTCTGTGACTGGGACACTCAGTTCAAATGCACATTTCCGTAAAACTTTAGGAGGGATGCTATCAGGACCCCCAGCTTTATTAATGTTGATTCTACGTAGGTCCTCAAAAATCTCATGTGGTTCAAACTGAGGAGGTGGATTAGAGCTAGGTAGATATGCTGGCAATTTATCTAGATTGAGTGGCTCATGGATCTGAGAGAAATTGGCTAAGTGTGCATTTATAGCATTAGCAACAGCTACATGATTCTCAGGATTAATATCATTATCAGCCACTTTAATAGATGGATCTTTTCTAGATATGTTGGCAGCTACACGAATCTCTCTATGCCACCTCCGGGGGTTTGATTGTCGAAGAGGTCTAATTTTCCTAGCATTAAAATTTGTTTTAGCTTGTTTTATTTCATAGATTACTAAGTTTCTTAGTCTTTTCCTAACTGTTTCATTACCGTCTTCCTACTATATATCAGTTGAAATTCTTTGCAAATTATAGTATTAGTAATTACACTAAATGAGGCTGTGAAATAATGTGTCTTGTATGTATACAAATGTCAGCAGGATTATTGTAGAGTTATCTTAGTGTAATTTTTATTTAGGATTAACCTATAAATAGTATAACAGCTACATACAAATGTACTGAAATGCTTAAAAGCATATAATCATCAAACGAATGATAAATATTGTTAAAAAAAAAGGACATTAGGATAAATTAAATGATCGAGATAACTTATATGCGTTTATATTAATACATTTTAAGAGTTCACTGTTGTGTTCTGTTCAAAGAGCTATAAAATAATATTATGTTATCAAAAAGGTGTTTTACGACCTTTTATCTTAGTGTTGAGGAAGGAGTTGTCGAGCATTGTAGATGCATTCCCATCGGAATAGATTCGACCTCTGGTGGGAATATAGACATAAGACTTGGCAAAGTCTTTCGCAAACCCACTCTAAAATCATTATATTTGAAAATGTAATATTATAGGATACAGATGTTACACATTGACAATGCTACTATAATGTAGTACAAAGGTCCATTAAAATTAAACTTTCCACCCAATGGAAAGTTGATAAAAGCTATTTTGTTTGGTGTCCAGCAGATTACATACGTCACACTAACTATAACCATTGTCTTGATAACGTTCAATCATCTGGCTGCAACATTCGCACTCACTGCACTGGAACCATTTCCAGCACGATGTTGTAGAGCACGAAAAATGTTGAAGTAAACAAATAACATTACACTGCAAGGAATAATGAGAATGTAAATACCATTCAGTAAATCAAAGGCTTTCTAAAACTCAACACTAGGCCAACTTTGGTTAAACTTTCTGTCTTTCACAGTGTGTACCGCTAACCAGAAGAGGACGATTTCAAAGCCACATAACCAGGGAATCAGCAAAAACAATATTTTCATCCTCACCTTTTCCTTGAATAAATTGTATTTTAGTGGGCACATCACTGCTAAGTAACGATCAAAGGAAAGCACTACAAGATTAGCCGTTGAAGAAAATATACTTGACCAGAAAATATATTTGCTTGACCAGAACTTGCAAACGAATTCTGCTGCAGAAGTTGATTCTGGGAGCTGAGTCATAATGTCCGAATCAAGAAAAAGGCAAAGCGAAACAAAATATATCAAAAAGTCAAACAAACTGATTTGAGATCAAAAGATTTGTAGTACCGTATTTGTTCCGTATTGGAATAAATATTGTGAAGCCATTTGTCGAACATCCGATTGCGCCAATGATACTATAGAGCATTATAGTAATGTTCACTCACGCATCTGGCAGGGGTCTGTCTCACACTGTCATGCTTATAAGGACAAAAGTCTCAAGCATAAATGTTTTATTGCCTATAATAAAAAATATATGTACATTTGGAGCTTTGTCGCTAAATATTCATCATTGCAGTACTTAAAATAAGATATTGGTTTTCATTTCATTTCTTCAGGCACGAGCGCCAAGGATATGCCAATAAGTGAACTTAATCACTGTCCTACAGTATCCATTTAACAACAGGGAACTTAATGGACCAGTACACCGGGGTAACCCTCTACTCTTCTCGAAGGATGTACTGGGTTCTTTAAAGTGCACACGAGCAAAATTCGTACAGTGGGCCTATAATTTTAATTATCCGAGAAGACTTGTTCCACTACCGGAACCATTGGCGAGTGAGCCGTTTGAACCAGCGCCAATATTAGAGCTGTAAGTAACGGTGCCCCTTACTTAACTGCTCGGCCAACTAACTCGCTTAAAAGCTCAAAGAATGTATTTCCGGGTATCTGGGGTAAACATTTTCCAGGGGTGGGGTAGGGTTGAGGGATGCGCGAACCCCTAGGGGGAGGGGTTATCAGAAAAAAAAAAGTCTCACGCATGCAAATTAGTCTAACTTGGCATGTGTGGTAGTCTAACTTGGCATGTGTGGAAGCGGTTTGGCGCAGCGTAAAAAGGTTTCGTTTCCCAACCTCGAGGTCGGGGTTTCAACAATCCCTCGCTGTGCATTTCGCTTGTGTCCTTGAGCTAGGCACTTTATCTGCATTGCTTCTCCACCCAGGAGTATACATGGGTACCTGGTGGGGTTGCTTGCTCCTGCGCTGAATACAGCAGCAACACTTAGCATGTGGATCCAATGACCAGGGACAGAAGCGCTTCGTATCTGCAAAGAAAGGCGCTATATAAATAATATATATGATTAGATTAAATTAGATTAGATTATGTGTTCATCTTCCCAATTTATTTGTTTTCTGCTTTATTCTTATATTATGGGATCATAAGCGCAGGTGAAAGTAGGCTTGGTACGCTAGTATTTTCCTTTGTAGAATGTTGAAATCTTTGTATAATCATTGTAATCATTGCCAGTTTATCCGATCAGTCACGCGTTCTTTGTGTAACATTACGTCGCTCACATCACGAACTAACACAATCAAAGTAGATTGTGTTAGTTGTCAGTAGCGCGTCAAAACGAGCGCGTATTGGTTGTCAAGCAATTTTGTATTCTTTACCACACAAAAAGTCCTTAACGACAACAGCGCGTATTTTGACGCGCTTTTTTGATTTCACGAACTAACACAATTGAATTTAATTGTGTTAGTTAGTGATGTGAGCGACGATATTTAACATAACTGTATTAGGCCCATAGGCGCGTTATTTATAAAGAAAATAATTAGTTCTACACTACATCATTAGCAAATCATTAAATTCAGGAACTTCTCTTGTACAGACTAAACCCTAATTAACAGTAGTATTGGCTAGTGTAACAATAGACACTTCTTAAGTTGCAGATGTATTCTGACAGAACGATCACAGTATGCCTAATTATATCTATTATTCATTTTCAATCACACAATCCTTATGCAACGTTTTCAACAACCTTGTCGTTTATTCACTTCTAGGTATTGAAAAAGAGTATTGTTGGTACACTTGCGAAAATGTTGATAATTGTGAACGACTCATTCCGGTTGTGTTATTATTTCATTTTCCGTCATGTAAAAAAGTTCTCTGCGTCAAACCAAACTGAAATGCACCGAATGTAACACTTGATTTTTTTTGTTGTACATTGCATATGAATGTATTAGAATTATTACGAATACTTGTGTAATACGTCGATAAAGTGCTTCCCGTGTTCTATTCAATAATCTAAAATTCGATATATATATATATCTAATATATATCTAAGTGTATAAGAGACAGTATATATATATATCTCCGGGATCTTTTAAAATCATGGCAAACGTCATAACCATTTCACTACTAAGGCGTTATGATGATCATTTAATATATTTCGAAATGAACTGAATAGTACAATGAACTAGAAGTTTTATAAGGCTTGTAATCAATCTAAATGATGGTAACATGCTTTCTAACAGAACTGATTTATTTACAGATGTCTCTCGTTACCCACTATTGGGACCAGTGACCACAATGCAAATTATCAAGCAAGGTCTTTTCCCAAAAAATCAATTGTTTTATTTTTGATGTTGAATCTTTTCATCGCAGATTTTTTTTTTTAATTGTGATTGGTAATCATGTATCGTGGCGATATCAATACACATTGGGCTATGTTTTTTATATTATGTTTCTTAAGGCTGTTAATGATGTTAATCCTAAGGTCTAAGTACGTGGAAGAAAACACATGCCCTGATTACCCCTGAAATCATCCGTCTTTCGAAGAAAAAGCAGCGACTTTACAAGTAACACCTCCGCCACCCCAACGAAATAGGCAAATGGAATACATATAAGGTATATCGTAATAAAGTGAGTAATCTCTTTAAAAAAATATAAAAAAAAAACGTTCTACTGTGGCTCTTACTATCTTTATCCTAAATGAGGATTCATTTTCCAACCCCAATTGTATTACTGACGCCTTTAACAGATATTTTCAATCTAATTTCTCAAAACGTTGTGGCATTCCTGAAATCGCTCTTCCTTCATAATCTGAGTACATTGGTCATTTAACTACATCGTTACTGATGAGAGAGAAGTATATAAACTCATGGTCTCTCTCCTCCTTCTCGTAAAGCCCCGGGCCAGATACGATTACTCCTAACATGATCTGGCATCTCCATATATATCTAAAATAAACACAAAATATTTAATTCATCTTTTAATTTAGGTCGAATCCCAGATGATTGCAAACAAATTAGTCGTTGTCCCTATTCATAAGGGTGACTGCAAAACTGGCATCTCTAACTCCGGCCGTCCCATTTCAACTCCAATATTTGCAAAAATTCCAGGCAAAATTGTCAGTAGTAGGTAGTCCTCTTTAGGTTAATCTTATTCCTGATACTCAGCATGGATTCTCGAAAGGTAAATATTGCACCACTCAATTTTGCATGCTGACACACAACATCGCTAAAATTCTCTACAAACGAAATCCACCACGCGTTGATGCCATATAGGCCTATTTAGATTGGTCTAAATATTTCGATAGGGTAAATCAGGCTATTCTCATCTCCAAATTAAACCGAGTTGATGTCCAGGGTAATGTTTTGTCATGGATTCGTCCTCATTGGTTGATAAGAAACAGTCGGTCCAATCCCAAGATGTTCGATCTGGCGGGATTACTGTCATCTCCGGCGTTCCTTAAGGAACAGTTATTAGCCCTATTTTGTTTATTTTTTTTCACTGCTTACCTCTCATGTGTCTTCTAGGCCATTAAACAATATGCCGACAATACTTTGTTCTATTGTGCTACATCATCACCCAACGATTCCGAAATATTACAATCTGATTTAAATAGTATTATTTCGTGGTCTGTAGAAAATGAAATGAAGCTAAACGAAAAAATAAAATGCAAAATTGTCCACTTTTACAATGTTTGTTAAGCCCATTACAACAGTATACTATATTGGTAATGAAGACGTCCTGTCTGTTAAATCATACAAGTATCTCGGTGTAATGCTTAGCTATGATCTTTCATGGGACAAGCACGTTGATTATATTGTTGCTCGGACCTCCAAGACTCTTGGACTTATTGCAAGAATTTCGGGTGAACCTAAGTGCAATCTCGCATATCGCAATCTGTATTTTGCACTTTGCCGCCCCATAATTGAATACGCAGTTCCGCGGCTTGGCTACCTTATAAAAAATGTCATATCTCCAACCTTGAAAAAATCTAACGTTTTACAAGAACTTTAAAGTTTATTGAAATGAAAAGTTTGCTAGTACCAATACTTCCAAAACTTCTCCACTTATTCACTTTAGTAAACTCTTAAATTCCCTCTCTGATGAAGTCAGATGCTCCCTGTTTTTTTTTTTTTTTTTTTTTTTTTTTTTTTTCGAGCCACTCTTTCATTAAACTTGCAAAATATCTCACAAAAATGTTGATATTATATGTTTTAATATCATTTTGATAATTTAATTTTGCATCGTAGTCACTTGGTAATTATGAGATCTCTTGTAATATGAATTTTAAATCATATATTTTATAAATGATA